TGAAAGGGTTCTTAGATCACCTCTGTCTTTGAGTGGGACATCTCTAATTGCATCAAGGTCGGATAGTGGTCTTGCTTTCCTTCCACACTTGTGTCTCCTCTTGCTAACATCACCAGCAGGGCAAGTGATTGGGTCAAATGTTTCGGTGTACCTCTTCMAAATCCTTCCAACCGTTTTTCTTGTTACTCCAAACAGCTCAGCTGGTTCCTTCAAAGCTCCCTTAGGAAGGGGCTTTCCAACAGTACTCCGTTGTTGTAAAAGGATCTGAATGATAGCTTGTCTTTGGTTGTTGGTCRAGTTCTTTTTAGATGGAGAGGCTTCACTTGCAGTATCGCTTGCAGTATCGCTCGCTGTATCGCTTGCCATAGTAGTCGTATTGCTCGCCGTATCGCTTGCTGTATCGCTCGCCGTATTGCTTCCACTCGCCGTATCACTTGCTCCTGTTGTTGTTGCAGGAGTATCGCTCGCTTCAAGCAGCTCAGTTGCATTAGTTATCATCTTGCTGTTAGTTGATTTGCTTTAGAAAGAATGAAGGGGGGGAAAAGTGAGTCAAATGGTTGATTGTTGAATACGGCGGACCGGTCGATGGATCCCCTCTTAGTGGAAGCAACGGAGACGCGACCGATGGAAGCAACGGAGACGCTTCCCCTCTTAGTGGAAACAACGGAGGCGTTTCCCCCCCCCACTGGCGCGCAAGGCCATGCGATTCCCTCTTAGTGGAAGCAACGGAGACGCGGGGAGTGGAAGCAACGGAGACGCAAGCCAGCAACGGAGACGCGATTTGCTCAACGTCGATGCGCCTCTTAGTGGAAGCAATGGAGACAGCTTCCCCCCTCTTAGTGGAGGCTTGGAGACGCGCTCCCCCCCCCCCGCGGGAGAAAGCGCTGGCGCGATTCCCTCTTAGTAGTGGAAGCAATGCTGGAGACGAGAGTCGGTCTTCCGATCCCCTTTAGTGGAAGCAACGGAGACGCGAGTCGGTCTTCCCCCCTCTTAGTGGAGGAGGCGCTCAGTGGAGGTGCTCAGTGGAGGCGCTCAGTGGCGTAGTAGTGGAGGCGCGTAGGCTCAACGTCGATGAGTCACTTGAGGTGCAAAGAAGAAAGAAGCTGGTCTTAGTCAGTTGAATGGAAAGAGCGAAGTGACAGAAAGGAGTCGAAAAGAGGAAATTGGGAGGTGTGAGTGAATCAAGAGTGAAATTTATCATGTGAAAATAACACGGGGAGCATTTTTGTACCATGCGCACAGCACTTTTTTTTCTCTTCGCATCGGTTGTCTGGCTCAAAGTTGAAAAAAACTGCACGAGCCCGAATAAGTGCCCGAGCAATATTTGGCTCCTTTAGTGACCCACTATGACTGCATAAGAACATTCTCAATGAGTACGATAAGTATACCATATTAAAGCTCTCACTCTCAGCTTTCTATAGCCACCAGTCCCGTAGTTAAATGACCGGTAGAACCCTTTCAACCGGTAAAATGAAAATCATATGCCAAAATCAGGTCTCTTTAAGTAGTTACACCAAGTACGTCAGACATATTGACTATATTCAATCTACATGAATGAATAACTGTATAATACATCTGTTAAGTGCAAAAAGAAGCATTCTAATCGCCCAAATAATGACCTTATTTCAGTAGTAAAGGTGCAAAAGGGACATTTATTTGGGAACGGAGGAAGTAGTTACCAGTATGAACGCAAATGTGTGGACAAAATGCGTAATAGGTTATAACTCCAAAAAAAACGCGCAGTTTTTCTAGTTAAAAAAAAAAACAGCATGAGGGTTGTCACGCCCTCCAGACAGAGCAATTGGGGACTCTTCCACTCCACACATGTAATGGAATAACTTCATTATAATACGAAGAAGGGGATCCGGAATTCTCAGAATGATCGGCCAAGTGGTTTTTTCTTAAGAGCCCTCAGTATAACAAGGTGTGTAGAAACCTACGTACAAATTAGTACTACTAAATATTTCGATATAAAAATACTTAATGGTTTTTTTCAAAGTGAGACAGGTTCATGTTGGGAACGCAAATGAAGTGTATAATTCTCTCCGTAGACCCGTGTACAATTTGTACTGATTCCGGACCTGTCACACACACATTTGCGTTCCTACTGGTACTCAGTTTTTGTCGACTACAAGTAAACTTTTTCCCGTCGCGTGTTGCCAAATGTTGCCACCTGGAACCATGTCGATTTCGATGTTTTTTGAAAAAATTAAATTCCCCTTTTTTCATTATGTGATCGGTTTTGATCACAAAAAAATGTGATCAGAAATGATCACAAAATTGATGAAATTCTTGATCACAATTTTTTGTGATCAGTTATTCTTTCATGTATATTTTAATTTAATATATATATATATATATATATATATATGACATTATATATAGTCATGTATAACCATTGCATAAGTCGCCATCTCTTTCATGTTGTTATGTCCCTCCGTAACGTTGACATATCATCCTGCCATCTTCAGGTGGCAGTAGGACCTGTCGCGCCTTTCACGGAGGTTGTATGTGGCTCTTTGCTCATCCTGCTCCTGGTTATCATTGTTGTCGTTGTCCACTCCTGTGGGCTCCTTGGCTCCCCCGGCTTGTTCATCACTCACCACACTTAACACTTCTTCCTCACTGGGGGCCATTGTTGATAATAATGTCGTGAGCGTTGTAGGATAGGGTTAAGGTTTACTGTATACCTGATACTACAATTCACACGACCAGCGAAATCGACAAACTGGAAGGCACGATTTATCCCATATTCTTTAATTTATTAGGAGTGATTAAGATTGAATAATTCATTAGATCACTGGTCTGTTGATGCAGTTGATAGTACTTGCCCGGTCGATCCGGACAAAGAGGTCAATGGACTGGAGATAACAACATAAATTAAAGAAAAATAACGAACAAAGAAGATGAGCGCCGATGAAAAGAAAGTGAAATTTGAACCTCCTCAAGAGGAGAAAGAAGGAAAGAAATACATGAACCCGCGAAAGCCGAGACACAAGAAGAAGTACCAGAACGCAAGCCAAAAGAACAACAAGAACAATCTGCAAACGTACACTAGTAAGACAGAAGAAATCAAGGATGATACGTTCACCATCGGAAGCAATATGGGAAAGAAGTGGATGACAAGCCGGGAAGCGTTCACCAACTATGCCGGAAGAACATATGGAGGGAGCGTGAAGACTTCTCTACACCGAATGAAAGTGACCATATTACACGTTAAAGAACCAGAAGCCTACACCGATGAGGAGTACAAGAATCTCCCACAAAGACTACAGGACATATGGAAAATGGAATACAAAAGATACTCCGACATGGAGCTGAAAGTACAAGACCAACTAATTAAATCGTATGATATCCTATGGGACCAATGCGAACCGGCACTAAAGAATAAGATCAAGTCGCAACCAAACTACAATAACACAATGGAGACATCGAATGTCATTGAACTCTTGCAAATGATAGACCACATATGCAGCTCAAATGATGCAACAAAGTACTATGAACTACAGAGCTTCTACGCGCTCAAAAGACTGATCAACTTCAAGCAGAAAGATGAAGTTGATGTTGCTGATTACTACAAAGAGTTCGAAATGCTATTAAGAGTCGCTGAACAGAATGGGGTAAACTTCGCAACCGAGGAGCAATGCAACCATGTAGCGGCAACACTCTATCAAGGAAGGAAATATGCTGAG